AGGTATCTTTCCAAAGTCCTGAAGGGCAATGATGTCAGTTTCAAGATTAAAGTACACCTGATTCAAGCCAAAGTCTTTCTGTCGCCTGCTATGCATCTGAGACCTGTACATTGAATAAGGATGACAAAAGAATTGATGCCTTTGATATTGAAGAATACTGAACATCCCATGGACTGCCAAAAGAACAAAGAGTTGTGTCTTGGGGAAAGTGTAGCCAGAGTGCTCCTCAGAGGCAAAGATGACAGTTTCATCTTACGTCTTTGAGGGCTTGTTGTAAGGAAAAGCTATTCCTTATAAAGGGACATCATACTTGAAAGGGTGGAGGGTCAACGCTTAGTGAGATGGATTGACACAGTGACTAGAGCAATGGGCTCAAGTATATCAGAAATAATAGGACAGGGCTCAGATCTGTTGTTCATAAGACCACTATGAGTAATTCTTGACTTGATGAAACCTAAGAACAAACAAACTTTTAGATGCATTGGAAGCAATTGAAAATACTATAGCTTGTTACCAAGGTAGATTGTGGGTCTAAGTGAAAAGAAATTACTGACAACTTCAGTCTTGGCTGTGGATTTTTTTCTGTTGTTGTTACTGTATGTGATTGAGTTGGAACCAACCCTTAGCTGACCTCCTGTGCATTTTCAGAGGCAATAAATCACACTGAAGGAGATTGCCCATCCTTCTCACATGGAAAGCTGGTGGATTTGAACCACACGCCTTTGAAATTGCGGCATGGCATACCACTAGGCCCCAAGAACTTCCTGGTTGTTTTTTGTTGTGTGTGTGTGTTTTTTTTAAATCCAAGACATATCTGTTAATTCTTTTGGTTGTGGACCATGGGCACTCTGTGTTCAAGTCCTGTTTTCTTTAGCTAGCAAATTTGGAAAAGTAACAAAGGTAGATATCTGACTGGGGTTGACTTCATAGTAAAAAAAGTAATTTCTAGATCCATCTTGAAGAACAACATCGTGAGTGGCAGGATTATATCCATACGCTTACAAGGAAGCCCAGTGAATACCACTATCATTCAGATATATGCACCAACAACCAGAGCCAAAGAAGAAGAAATAGATGATTTCTACCAACTTTT